ATACTCTGACATGTAAGGAAATATAGATTATCAATGCATTTTAGTAATGGAAAACTTCCTATTTCATAGACTTTTTCTTAATACAAAATCATTTACCTTTTTGGAGACAGCATTATTTAAATGCTCATTCAGCTGGTTTTTTGCRTACTCAAGTTCAGCTTTTTTGCTTCGTTCATGCTGTTTACATAGTTGTGTCAAAGTTTCAATAGTTCTCGATTGATTCTGAAAGGAATMAAGAAATTACTATTGATACTTTGTACAAACCAGCAAAAAGATTTAACAGGTTAAAGCACAGGTAAACTTAAACAATTGGTTAATACAAATTGATGTTTAGGACAGGATAGAGCGGATTTCGTATGAGTGGGACACCGTTACCGCACGGTTACCGGACCTGGCCTGCACAATTTTTGTGAACCAATGGGGCACTAGAATTTGGTTACAGTACGATTACGGTCACAGTACAGTACCGTCCGTTTCCCACTCATACGAAATCCGCTCTATGTCTATTGACTAGCTCTTGTTTTCTACATCAACAATAAAAACAGCACAAACAACAAAAAGTGTAGATGACCACGATCTCTGGCTTTACTAGACAACTTTTCTTACTTTTGCCTGGTCTTCCARTTCCTGGATTTTCTTTACATGTAGATTTCTCTGAAAATTAAGAAACAAAAAGTTAAGAAATTGTTCTTGTCAGATAAATCAGTTGGATTCACTGTTGAGGTGACTGGACTAAGTTTCTCAGGCAGCTCATCAAATTAAAAGAAAAAACCAACAACATATCTAGTACAGCAAGTTCATACTACAGAGAGAAAAAAAGTGGCCAAACAAATTTGGTTGTCACTTTAAACTACCTGGTACTATGGTGTCCAGGTAGCACAATCCGTGCAGAAAAACATAGCAGTCACTTAACAACAGAMAATAACAAATGGTGTTTACCTCATTAACATCAATAGGACTCTTCATAGAATAAAAAACATCCCCATTTTGTTCGGCCTTTGTTGAAGTCTGTTGTGCACGTGTTGGTGTACTGACTTTTGGAGTTAAAGCTTGRGCACAAAACCCATGGTCACTCATCGTTTTGTTTACATCTACTTGTTGWCCATTTTGTTCATATGAAATATCAACAAGATAGGTACCTGTTAAAATAAATGCAGCAAAATATTACACTTTTATAATAATTATTAGATCACTATTTAGCGGATAAAAGATTTCACAAGTTATCTCTTGAGTATGTAGTTTTGTCCAAGCTTCATACAACTGGCCCCTGGTGGTTAACTTTGTGATCTTTTCTCAATGCAACTTTGCAAACAACATTGGAGAAAATAACCCAGTCAAAGCGATGATTTGGTTTAGAAACCTTTTTATCCATGTCCAGGAAGACTCTTGAACATTTTTTGTCCAGGAAGACCCCTGTACTTTTTTCCAGGAAAACTTTTTTGTCCAGGAAAACTCCCAAACCTTATTTTGTCCAGGAAGAGTCCTGAAGTGAATATTGGACATTTGCACTGTACATGTATACGCAACTAAGAATCAAATACATTATTGACTTGTCTAACCTATTTTATCATTAAGAGAAAGTGGGTTTTTTACTGTCAGGAGCTTGTCAGTTAACATTGTGTTCAGCAACTCTGTTCCCTGGAAATGAATATAAGAGGAAAGAATCAATGAACAGGATGTGTTAATAGTGAAATAAGTAATTTGTGATACACAAATAAATGACCTTTTTTGTTTTGCTTTTTTTTCTGAACTTTTGCACTAATGCAAGTCAATAGTCTCCATCACGGTTCCCTGCGGCATCTTGAAAGGTAGCTGTGCCTTTACATCGAAGCGAGACAACCGTTGAGCGTGCAATGATAGAAACCTGTGAATAATTGTCTGTAGGTGTGAAAGGTTTCTATTGCACGCTCAACCGTCGTTCAAGATGGCGCAGGTAACCATGAAGKAGACTATTCTTTGTTATCATTCATACACTCCTGTTTCTCTTGAATAAAAATGGAGATTGKGGCCATTAACTACTAGCACATAAAACTAAAGCTTTCATTGTCTCTATTGGTAATTGTTACTAACTGCCACTTTGAGTTAAGACTATATCTTTTACATCTTTATCCACCAGGAAATATTTTTTACCTGTGCAAGGGTTCCCATTTTCTTCTCTGAACCATTATAAAACAATGTTAAAACCTTATCATGTACCTTATTAYATTTTGGAGAAGTTGTATCTGAGATATCTTCAATGCCTCTCAGTTTGAGCTTTATTGCATAGGCACTGTAGTTGTACAGCTCGCTTGAGAGCTGCACAATTTGGCTTTGGCGAAGGACCTCAGTGTTGCCAAAGTCTATGAAGAGAACTTTCACCTAAAGCATGAAAAAATAACACAATTATTAGTGTTAAATTTACTTATATTTTGGACAATGACCCAAAACTGCCAATATCCTAAACACCAGAAGCTTCCTCTTTTTAACTCGGAGATTGCGGTAGCAATCGTAGAGTTATTGGGAGGGGATAAGCTGTCACTCGCTCGCTCTCTTTCCTGTAAACTTGAGCCTGCAATGTTTTTGTCAGCAGTTCATTTAATCATGACTCACTTTCCTGTAAACTTGAGCCTGCGATACTTGTGCTCACAATTATTTATTATATTATTATTTTATAATAATTTATTCACTAATTTTTCTTTACTGGTTTCCCTGTGCTATATCTGATGGAATTGATTTATTTCTATAGTGTACTATTGTTTTTGCTAGTGTACATAAACTCAGCTCCACTAGTTCTGTGCTACTTGCAGCTTTTTAAAACAACAGTTTATTTACTTGTATCATCGCTGTCAGCTTGAAACCTTTTAGGATTTTTTTTTGCATTTCTTATCTGTCAATTAGAAATTTCACCCTTACCTCATCTGGATTCAAAAATTCAAGGATTCTGCATCTATACCATTGTCCATCACCAACATAAACACCACCATAGACCTAGAAAAGTTTCAGAAATAATCAACAGTTTTCGTATTACTGGAACATGACAAATGCGCTTTGCGCATTGAAGAGCTCATGATTTAACGTACAAAATACGGATTGAAAAGGCGTAATAAAGCGAAACTAGTATCCGTGAAATTCCTGGGTTAGGCTTGTGAAAGACAGAGAAACAAAGGATAAACTTTGGGTGCTTGCACTACACAACATGAGATTTTCAAGGTCTTTCGAAATCAAAGTAAGGAACATTTCAAACTCATGATTTCAATGTCACAGAAGAACAAAAGAGAGTGTTGTAACTGATTGTTTTCTTTCACTAAGATATTGATCACCAATTATTAAATATCAGTAATTAATTTCTATCTACTAGAAGCTAATTGGAAGAGTCGCTGAGTGCTTAATTATCATTGTGAGACAGCGAAGCAATGTGATAGTGTAGCATGTACATATTATGCAAGTTATTGTTTTTAGCAAAACTTCAAAAGTGACAGCTGCAATGTAATGCGATTATTTTGAACTGATTTTAGTCTTTGTTGGTTTGTTGTCTCAAAACTCCTTGAAAACACTCACTCTGAACATTGAATAATAAATCTATAAATATTTATACAACTTTTCAGTAAAATCAGACGTTTTGATTGGTTGGCTTTCGTGTGTTATCAAAGTATAGATACACGGATTACGTCAAAACTAATTGTTTGTTGTATAAAACAGATAGATCTCATTTTTCCGTGCGTGTGTACTCTAATAGATACACAGATGACGTCAAAATGTAGTGAGAACAACAGTCACGCACTCGACTGCGTCTCGTGCGTACTTTTTTGTTCTCACTACATTTTGACGTCATCTGTGTATCTATTAGAGTNAAGTTTATATAAAAAAAATAACCATCATTTACAACTTATCAATGAATGAGTAATAAAGTATTTAAAAAAAAATTTAGAATAGGTCCTTTGCAGCTGGAGGTCAAGTGACCACACCTAAAAAAAAAAATATATCAGCAATCAAAAAATGATGTTCAAAAAATGGGAAGAGAAAAAAAATTTGAAGTATCAACACAAAATATTTCAAAATTGATAGCAAATATAAAAAAAAATTTTCCCTAAAGAAACATATGCAAAAACAGAGCTGTGGAGCAAGGAAAAAAAACCAGTTCTATTTTCCCACCTTTCTTTACAAAATTTAATATTTTACAAAAAAAATCATTTTTGAAGAGTTGAAACTTTGTCATTTTACCAATGAATTGATAGCTGATTGATTTAAGGTACGTGTGGTCATGTGACCTCCAGCTGCAAAGGGCAAAAAAAAAGTCTTTTTCACATATTCTACCTCGTTCTCTTCCCCAAACCCAAAAAAAAAAATTCCTTTTGGAGATTCAGCGCTGTACTGCGAGCTAATGCTTGGTTAAAAAAAAGAGTCATCTCTTTCTTCTAAAGTGCTTAATACAAAAGGGAACATAAAAAAAAATTTAAGTCACATGTACATGTAAAGTGACCTTCCCAATAGGAGAACTAAACTATAAAGTACAAATAACCCTGTTTTTTAGACTACGATGTCAATCAAATAAAAAAAACCTTTGCAGCTGGRGGTCACATGACCAAACCTTCCTTAAATSAATAAAAAAAAAAAAAATGATGTTCAGAAATGGAAAAAGCAGGTCTCAACTCTAAAAAAAAAAAAAATGACAGCAAATGTAAAATATTGATTTTTCTAAAGAAACATRTAAAAAAAAAGAACTGGAAAGCAAGCCTTCCAGTTCTGTTTTTGCAWATGTTCTAAAAAAAAAGAAAAAAATGATTTTATATTTGCTATCAATTTTGAAATATTTAGAAAAAAAACTTGAAACTATGTCTTCTTATTTATTTTGATCCCCTCTTTCCATTAAAAAAAATCATTTTTTGATAGCTGATTGATTTAAGGTAGGTGTGGTCACGTGAAAAAAAACTGCAMAGGRCCTATTAATGCCTCTGAGTTGWAACTAGACACAACAAAAAAAACATTTGCATATAAATCAAGTTTACAATGTGTATGTTTTCTACACCATATTATGTTGCCAAATCTTAATATAATTTTATAATTATCTGGTGTTTTTAATAAAAAAAACTTTCGGGATTTCAAAAACAGCATTGTGCGACTGATTTTCTGTTAAAAAAAAATTTTGTGTCCTTTTAACTTGACAATGAGATGGGATTGGCAGTAGGAAAAAAAAGCACACCCATCAAAGTGATCTAGTCTCATAACACCCTGGTTCCATAAAAAAAATTAAATAGAAGAAAATGATTCCTAAAACAGCACCCAAAGACTGGGAAAAAAAAAGAGGGATGGGGGCATGAACAAATGTAGTAACATTGCAGCTATCAAAAAAAAACAGATTCAAGAACACTGCCTTATCAGATAACATTTACAAATTGGAAAAAAAAATACCATTAAATATTAAATCTCCAACATCCTCTGCTCTGATTGCATGCCACCCTGAAAGGAGCCCATTCATGCTTGGGTAAAACATGTTTATACTGAAAAAAAAAAATTTTCACTTAATTAAAATGGACTCCACCCATTGCACTTAGGAATCAAAAAAAATTGATAATGATCTAGAGAAGGACCATGTTCAAGATTGTAGAAAGAAAAAAAAACGCTCTTATAAAACCTCATAGCACAAATTTACATATTTTAACATGAAAAAAAATAAAACGAAGACACAGCATTTGAGTCTATAAATATATCTACTTACAAAAAAAAGTGACTCTGCCCAACCTAAATGCATGAAGAGGAAAAGGGTTATTTAAAAAAAAAGATACAAGAAAGGGTGCAAGTCCTCCGGAAGCATGCAACTTTGGAATGTCGCGTCGGAACCCAAGCGCAAAACAGAGAATTCCACAAAAACTTACATTTTTTGTTTGCAATGATACGCCAAAAGATAAATATAGTTTTCTATCWTAGTTTAAAAAAAAYTTGAAGAAATACTTGAGCATTTTTGCGCATAAACATGGAAAACGGAGCGCATTTGTGCATTTTCACACCTCTMCWTCTAAAGTCAAATTTCTCAATATGCGATTCTTCTAAGTCTAGAAAGAGCTCAATAATTCACAAAAGTTCAAATTGAAAAAAAATAAGAYCTTTATACKCTCAAATTTTAAGTTAAATACAAGCAACCTAAAAAAAAWCTTCKTSSKKCSTCCWCSRCGRYGATGATCCTTCATCAATCGATAAAAAAAAAGGTTGGCGTAGAACTCCAACATTCATCATCATCGCGATCACCAGAAAAAAAAATTCTTCTATACAGAAGGACTATAACTATCAGAAGCTATAGAATTAAAAAAAAAAACTACGCTAAACACGAACAACTTCAATGAAGACCACAGGCTGCAAAAAAAACATCGAAGCACATGGGAGCCTTTGCAGCTTCAAATTTTTGACAAGAAAAAAAAAAGAGCGCTGATTGGATAATTTTATAATGGCTGTCAAATTTTAACAAAAAAAAACGAAGGGACTAGACAGCGGCGCGATTGTCTAAACGCGGGAAAAGAAAAAAAACCAGGAGACTGCAAATACAAAACATTTTTGCAAATTTTGTTTTTTAAAAAAAATTCTCTTACTTTTAAAAGCAAGTGCATTTATGAATTTCTAAAAGAAAAAAAAAAGCTGTGTAAAAACACATGGTTAAGCTTCCACTGTAAAATCAATTTTTCTTTACACTGAATTAAAAATTATTTTAGCTAAAATCCAGGTGAACGAACACATATTACAATTTCGAGAGCATTAATATCATATTTTCAAGTCGTTCTAGTGGAAAAAAAAAATCCCTGAGCTAGTGAAAGGCTGGAAACTTGTGCTAAAAAAGTGAAAAAAAAAAATTGACACTCAGTGGGGTGGGCCTGGGAAGTTTTGCTTAGCAAGAAAAAAAAATCACTTTATTGCAGCATTATTATTTCAAGATGGCGGCCGAGGTAAAAAAAAATCGTAAAATAAGTTCTCAGTTTTCGATTTTCTGACGCAAAATCCCAAAAAAAATCTAATTAGATATATTCTTTTTAAGGCAATACATCAATATTTCGAAAAAAAAATAAAAAGGTGAGTTTTTGAAGTAATATATTTGTCTTTATTTGGTAAAAAAAAATCACGGGACTTTCACAGGATCTGCCACATCTATCAAGTTAATGAAAAAAAAAAATTTTGTGGTATTTCTTATCGAACAGATTTGAAGGGATACTTGCTAAAAAAAACACAGACAGAGATGGTGTTCCCGTTGTAAAAGGTGCATGAAAAAAAAAAAAAATTCCACCACCCCCACCCCCAAAGTAAATAAGTTATCTCGTCGACTAAAAAAAATAAGTATGTTGACTCAAAATCGTTCATTACCTTTTCTAGTTGCCGAAAAAAAAGTTCCAGCAAGTGCGTTAAGGAGCAGTTTTTTAGCTATATTTGCCAAAAAAAATGAGCAAGTAAGTCAACAATCTACCCCTATATCTAGAAAGCCCAAAAAAAAAATTTTATATGATTTACAGGGAGAGACAAACCTTAAAAAACATATTTAAAAAAAATCTACTGTTTGTTTCGTTTCAGGCAAGTAAACTTGGACTATCAAAAAAAAAAAAAATAATATGCTCGTTTCCCAATTATCAGGTATAAGATATTTACAAAAAAAAATATTTACATTATTCAACTTGCCGCAAGTGATCCCACATGCATGATAAAAAAAAAAAATCTTATGACATGGTGTCGTGGCAATGACCCATACATGTTAGAAAAAAAATAGAGCGGATTTCGTATGAGTGGGACRMYGTTACCGCAYGGTTACAAAAAAAATACCGCACCTGGCCTGCAGAATTTTGGTGAAACAATGGGGCACTAAAAAAAAATTACAGTACGATTACGGTCACAGTACAGTACCGTCCGTTTCCCACAAAAAAAAAATCCGCTCTATATCATGTAAACAAGCCTTGTGATGAATGACTAGAAAAAAAATGTTTGATCAAGTGTTCTTTTTCTTCTTGAAGGTTGTTCATTTCAAAAAAAAACCTCTTGTGGTTAGCATTGTTGCTTCAAGTTCAGCAAATACAGGTAAAAAAAAATACTGAAAAACATATTACTATGAAATAATAATTTGCCCATTTATAAAAAAAATCATTCGTCCATCCATTTGTTTTACAATCTTTTGCATTTCCATCCAAAAAAAATTTTTCTTCCACTCATTTATTTATCTGACTTTTGTTGATCCCTTTAAAAAAAATTTCTTCAGCAGTTATTGACTGTTCATAAAATTCCAATACACGAAAAAAAAAACTTGTTCCTAGGCAAGAATAACTTATAATAACCAATCAATTTACTAAAAAAAAATTTAAGACTGAATCCACTTGCACTGGGATTTTGAGAATAGTCAAAAAAAAAATCTGTCAATGGCCCCTAACATTCTGGCTGATATTTCTCCCTTTTTAAAAAAAAGAATCATTCTCAGTCTTGAACCAGATTTTGAAAATTTAGTGAAAGAAAAAAAAAGTACAGTAGATGGAGAGTAAATTTTACTAGTGCAAATCAAAAGCAAAAAAAAATAAATAATAAGAGTTAATTCATAGAAATATATACTGGTATCCATAAAAAAAATTAGATAAATTGTAATATTTTGGCCTTTGTAATAAAATGACAGATAAAAAAAATTAATTGTAGATTAATGGTTTCTAATAATTTATAGACTTTCACAGAAAAAAAAGCTATGCAACCAGTCCAGACAAAGCTTAACAATTGCAATATAAACAAAAAAAAATCAACTTAAGCTTTTTGTTGCCTGAGTACTGCACTGATTTAGTCAAAAAAAACAGCCGCAACTTCTGACGAGACCGGAAGTTGCGGCTGTTAAAAGAAAAAAAAAACTGATCTCTTTGAACGTTTGATTGACAGTATGTATAGGCGAATAAAAAAAAAACATTTCGGTTCATTAACATATCATTAGCATAAGGATATAACGTTAAAAAAAAACTATCAGTAAATCAGCACTGAATATTGAAACAACATAGCACAATAAAAAAAACACGCAATTTTGAGCTATTCCACTAAACTATTCCATGTAATGACCAAAAAAAATCGTAGTTTATATTAGTTCTTAATAAGTCCTTTTACATTATAAACAAAAAAAACAGTTTTCTTTAATTTAAACTTTATGCTAATTAGCAAAATTTTGTAAAAAAAAATCCGCCTATAGCTATCAAATTTCAGTGGCCCTATGCAATACTGCAAAAAAAATCACTTTCTTTGAAAATTTTGGGCATCTTCATGTCATATTCCCCAAAAAAAAATACTCAGTTTCATAAACCATTTGTATCAGGCTTGGTGGCATGGCAAAAAAAAAATATTCGCTAACAATTCGGGTTCGGTTCGAAGCGTGTCAAAGTGAAAAAAAAACTTTTCCGTACTTGGAAAACACAGTTTCGAGCAAATTTTATCACAAAAAAAAATTCTTCGGTCATGAACAACGCTGTCCAGTTATGGGATGGCAATTTAAAAAAAATAACGCGTCCAATGCCTCGTGTTCAATCAGGTTTGGATGTTATTGAAAAAAAAACGTACGCGGCWGTAAGTGGAACTGATTTGGACGTTTTGGAGGGGAAAAAAAAGCATTCAAAATCGATYATACTTGGACATCAATTTGTGGGGATTGTAAAAAAAATGGGAGCCGATGTAAAGCATATTTCAGTTGGGGATCGGTAAGRAAAAAAAAAAATTTYGATTCYCACATGTTATTTATCAACTCCCACTCCTGAACAAAAAAAAAAGTAAATATTTTATTATATAACTTCGCTGTGTTGTGAGTTTCATCAAAAAAAAAAGGCCACAAACACTAATTTCCCAAACCGTATCTTTTCTTCCACGGAAAAAAAAGATTTCAGCG